ACGCCCTCCACCATGAAGATCATATGCTATCCACCATGAAGGCCAGCCAGTCCTCTCTCCCGTCCTCTAAAATAGTCTTTCATGGTATATGATTTTCCCTGAAAATTGCATAACTTTCTGCTAAGTTGGCTGGGACAACCTCCACACACATGATCACATCCTGGTTAAAGAATCAGCTTTTTACAGAGAAACCCTGTCTCAAAAACTGAAAACCAGAAACCAAACCAAACCAAACCAAAACAAAACAAAAAAACCCAGCTTATCAAATGCATACAATGGTGGTCATAGCAACAGCAAGTCACCTGTGTGTTGGGCATTCTCAGTTACTAGCCTAGAAGGGTTGTGAAGACTATAGGAAGAATGCCGTTTTCTTTTCTTTTTCTTTCTTTTTTGTTTTTGTTTTTTTGAGACAGGGTTTCTTTGTAGCTTTGGAGCCCATCCTGGAAGTAGCTCGAAATCACAGATATCCGCCTGCCTCTGCCTCCCGAGTGCTGAGATTAAAGGCAGGCACCACCACTGCCAGACTGCCATTTTCTTCATGTATCTTCCTAGGCGAGAGGGGAGCTCTTGGGCAGATAGTGTATGTACAGACTGGCAAACCTCTGGTAATCTCTGTGCCAGAAATCACGCCCATGACACTCTGCTTCCAGGGACCCGGGTTTGTTTCTGTAACCATGCCAACACCATGGGAATGATCGACTGGCCAGAGCTGTGTGGATCTACGTGTTCATTGCAGCTCTGTTTCCCTTGCTTCTGTGTTTGGTTTTGTTTCTAACAGGGTCTCACTATGTAGCCCTGGCTGGAGCTGACTTTATAGACCAAGATGTCCTTGAACTCATAGAGATCCTCCTGCCTCTACCTCCTGAGTGCTGAGGTTAAGAGCATGTACCACCACACTCAGCCAGTTTTCCTGTTTAAAAGTGCTAGCAAATTAAAAAAAAAAAAAGCCTGGGAGGTAGAGGCAGGCGGCTGTCAGCGAGTTTAAGGCCAACCTGGTCTACAAATCGAGTTCCAGGACAGGCAGGACTGTTACACAGAGGGCAAATCAGTGAATACTGAAATGCCACGGGAGTTTATTTCATTGTTTTTACCACTCGGATATACCTCAACCAAAAAGGGGATCATGATGCCATCTATACGGAACAAAAAGACTTTTTCTTCCTCATTTCTCCAAGGATTCAGTAACCACACCTTAGATTCAATTTCTCCTTACCTGGCCTTGAGGGGCAAGAGAAATCACACATCAGACCAGGTCTGTGGTTATTTAGATTAGACACTCAAGGCCAAGATCGAACATCGTACTGTAGCCACGCCTTTGACCTTTGGGTCTCCTGACTCACTGAGGACATTTTTGAATTCTCTGCCCTTGAACCCAAGACGAAGTGGAGTCATCCTTATGAGCACTGACAGCTGGGGATAAACACCTATCAGCACATGACAGTTCAGCACATCTGCCTTCCTCCTCCAGTCTTGTGGCTTCCTCTTAGCGCCCTCTATTGGTAAAGCCTGTTAAATCTAATTTGCAGAGTCCCACAGCCTCAGGAACCTAGAAAACCAACCTTTTTCAGTTTGGGGCTTTCCCGGTCTCATTTCTGGGACTGTGATAAAAACACCCCGGCGACAAAAAGCATCTTAGGAGAGAAAGAGAGTCTGTGTCATCTTGCAATTCCAGATTGCAGTCCACCATTAGGGAGAGGTCAGGGTAGGAACGTCAAACATCTGGTCACATCACATCTGCATCAAGATCAGAGAGAAATGAACGCATAATGCTTGCCCGCCTGCTTGTTTGTTCTGGGCGGGATCTCTCCACTCTTATACAGTTCACACAGCCTGCCTAGGGAACGGTGTATCCCACAGTAGGCTGAGTTCCCAAGTCAACTCACTTAAGACAACAATGTGTGCATGCCTTTAATCCCAGCACTCAGGGGCAGAGGCAGGCGGATCTCTGTGAGTTCGAGGCCAGCCTGATCTATATATCATCGAGTTCCAGGCCAGCCAAGGATACAAAATAAAACTGTCTCTAAACGTACACAACCCCCATAAACATGCCTACAGGCCAGCCCCAAGTAGGCAGTAGGCAGTCTCTTATTAACTCTTTTTAGGTGACGCTAGGTTGTGTCAAGTTGACAATGAAGGTCAAGCATTCTTGTAGACTTTTTTTTTGAGACAGGGTTTCTCTGTAGCTTTGGAGCCTGTCTTTGTAGACCAGGCTGGTCTCCAACTCACAGAGATCCTTCTGCCTCTGCCTCTCGAGTGCTGAGGTTAAAGGCGTGTGCCACCACTGCCTGGCTAGGAGCATTCTTGTAGACATTTTTTTAAAAACCTTTTTTTTAAAGATTTTTTATTTTATTTATTATGTATGCAGACAGGCCAGAAGAGGGCACCAGATCTCATTACAGATGGTTGTGAGCCACCATGTGGTTGCTGGGAATTGAACTCAGGACCTCTGGAAGAACAGCCAGTGCTCTTAACCGCTGGGCCATCTCTCCAGCCCTCTTGCAGACATTTTTAATAACGTGTGAAATCACTTTTGAGTGGACTTACTGGATTTACAGATAGAGACTGTGCTGCTTAGTTTTATGTCAACTTGACACAGGCTGTAGTCATCTGAGGAGGGAGACTCAACTGAGAAAATTCCTCCATAAGATCAGGATGTGGGCAGGCCTATAGAGCATTTTAAAAATTAATGATAGATGGGGGGAGAGCCAGCCCATTGTGGGCAGGGCCATCCCTGGGCTGGTGGTCCTGGGATGTCTAAGAAACCAGGCTGAGCAAGGCAGTAAGCAGCATCCTCCGTGGCCTCTGCAACAGCTCCTGTTCCTGCCCTGCGTGAGTTCCTGTCCTCACTGCTTCTGATGATGGACTGTCATATGAAACCTAGAGTGAGATTAACCCTTCCCTCCCCAGTTTGCTCTTGGTCATGGTGTTTCATCACGGCAATGCAACCCTAACCAAGACACAGATACCAGCAATTCTGGTGGGTGTGTCCCACTACCTGCTGGTTTCTATCTGCGTTTTTCTAGATGCTAATGAAATCAAGACTTTCTATTTTTATCTTATTTTAATATTCGAGGCAGATCTGCCTGCTTCTGCCTCCCAAGTGCTGGGGTTAAAGGTGTGTACCATCACTGCCTGGTGGATGTATTCTTTATAATGCTCTTGGTTGATTACATTTCTAGCCAGTTTATTCTGTGAAATGTTTCTTCTATGTAAAATTAATCCGTTTACTTTTATGTGTGTGCACAGTGTGTACATCTGATGCTTGTGAAGGCCAGGAGGGGGTGCCAACCTCTCTGGAAATGGAGTTTCAGTTGTGAGGTACCCTGTGGGTGCTGGGAACTGAACCCAGGCTCTCAAAAGAGCCAGACTCTTAAGCACTGAGCCGGCCTGCCAGTTCCTCTGTGGGGATTTTTAATTCAGTCTGAAAGTTCCTTGTGTTCTTCAGTGCTGGGTGGAAGTAAAGTCTGTTGTGTGATGCTTGGATTTCATTCTGAAAATAAAGCTTGCTTTGAGCCAGAGGGCAGAGCTAACCTCTAGGGAACCTAAAGTAACCATAGAGTTTTGGAGGACTGTGGACAGACAGGAGACAGGTAGTGGTAAGAAGGGAGTGAGAGAGGATCTCAGCCGTTTTGGAGGAAGGAACAGAAGAGGAAGTTACTGTTGACTGCTCCCCTCTTCTCTGATTTTCAGGTTCTTACCCTGATATCTGACTCCTAATTTTTATTGATAAAGTATAATTAGATAACTGTTTCAGAAGTCTTGAGTAGCCACACTTGTATGTAGGAGCTTACAGACCCTTTTGGCATTTGTCAGTTGGAACCCTGAAATGGTGAAGAGGTGGACTGTTGTGAATGAGGACGTCAAAGCTGTCTCTGATGTCTTTAGTCCCACACCCTCTCACATGTACAGTTTTTGGACTTGGAATGTTGGGGATTGGACCCAGGGTAGCATCAAAAAAGCTATATCCCCAGCCCTCAGTCCTGTGTGTGTGTGTGTGTGTGTGTGTGTGTGTGTGTGTGTGTGTGTGTGTGTGTAGGTGCCCATGGAGGCCAGAGGGATTGGATGGGTCTCTTGGAACTGGAGTTGAACTGGTTATGATCCTCCTGAAGCGGTGCTGGGATTGGAAACAAGCATCATCACCACCGGGTTTTAAGACAAATTTTTTGCATTGCTCAAATAATCTGCAATGAATGTGTCTTTACAAGAATGGCACACTGTGTTTTCTTTTGAGATGCTAGGGATAAGCTAGGGCTTCACTCCTGCTTGACAGGTCCTCACTCTCCTGCCGTCCCGTTTTCCCTCCTCACTTGAGATGGGGTCCCACTCCTGCTGTACACACCCGGCCTCTTGCTCCCAACACCAGCCCGGCCTGGCAGAGACTCAAGCGGCCTCTCCTTCCTTCGGTATGTGCCTCCCGTGCCCACCCTCACCGGCTCCTCCCTGCTCTGTGTGTCCCCAGGATGGATGCCTCCAGGGTCTCCAGTATGCTTCTGGAGCAGATGAGGACTGGGGTGCAACAAGATAGAGAGACAGAAGAAGCTGAGACCTCACCTCCTGGGGTGCAGCCCTACCTACACCGTTCTGGAAGCGCAAATGCCTATAGCCTTTGCAGTTAGCCAGGATCAAATGGTTGAACTCCAGGTTCGGTGAGAGACTATTACTGGGGCTGGAGAGATGGTGGCTCAGCGGCTAGGAGCACTGGCTGCACCCACACGGCAGCTCACTCCAGTGTATAACTCCAGTTCCAAGGGCTATGAGGCTTCTTCTGGCCCTGCAGACACTGCACCCAGGTGGTGCACAGACATACATGCAAGCAAAATGCATAAAACTGAAAACATATGTGGAGAACTGAAAAAGCCACCCTTTGCCTTCATGAGCATGCGCATGCATGTGCACTCACTCTCACGCACACGCACATACATGTGCACTCTCACGCACACGTGCATTCATACACTAGCATGCATACACACACACCGCCCTGAGACACGCTCACACAGATATAACAAATCAAAGACATGTATTGATCCAGGCGTGGTGACAAACGAGGTATAAGGATGACGGTCTGGGCTTTAAGGCTGCCTTTGGCTACATAGTGATTTGAAGGTCAGTCTGGGCTACATGAGACCCAGTCTTACAAAAAAAAAATAGAAAAAGAAAAAGAGGGGGCTGAGGAGACAGCTCACTCTGAGAAGTGCTTGCATTGTAAGCATAAAGACCCAAGTTCAAACCCCAGGACCCATGTAAATGAGGCCAACTGCACAGAGATGCATGCTTGGCAGTTCCAGGGCTAAGGAGGCAGAGAGGCATGCTGGGGGCCAGCCAGTCTAACCCGTTTGGTGAGCTTCAGGCCAACGAGAGACCCTGTGGCGGGTGAGGCCCCAGTCATGTCCTGGGCTTTCCTTTGACTCCCATTGCCAGCCCCTCTAACTCCCAGGCTGACTGTGCCTTCATCCCTGCTAAGGCAAAAGAATTTCAACTTCAAAGCCAGCCTGGGCTACATGGTGAGCCATGCCAAAAACAAAACAAAAGCCCAAAACCTCCTGATGGGCTTGCTCTTCTTCACTCAATCCTCTGCCAGTTTCATCCTGTCTTTTCCACCAGGTACTGTTATGTGTCCAGCCCTGCGGGGTCTGTCAAGGTGAGGCAACAGCTTGAGTCTAGACAGGGTGGACACGGATAGTTCTAAATCAAACTCTGCTCATTCACTGAGAGATGCTCTAGGCTCTGAGGGGACTCCCGGCACATGCCAAAGCCAAGTCCCTGCCTGTCCAGAGACCAGTGGCTGGGAGGGAATTATGACCTTTTTACCCCTCCAACTCACCCGGGGAGATGCTGCGATTTGGTTTTAAAAATAGAACCCCCAGGCTGGACTTTTATGGTCTTGTGAAGAATGCTGCTCTTGCCCTCCCACACCTGGTCCTTGCCCCTGCCTGGCCCCGTCCAGCTGCCCGCATCAGCTCCGTGCAAGTTCTCAGGGTCTCTTAGCAGAAATGTGGGACCAGGCAGATTTATGCGTTTGGCCTTGGCTGAGGCCTTCTGCAGTGGCTCCCAGCCACAGCCCAGCTGTTCTCCCCATCCATGCAGCTCAGAATGGGACGTTCTGTGTCTTCCAGCTCCACCACAGCTCTCTGAGTCACACACCCCCCAACCCCCTTTCCCCGGATGTCCTGGTCAGCCCTTTGGAGGAGCAGACCCAGTCCCTTCCAGCCTGCCCAAGCCTCCACCCAACTCCGATCGCCCTGTTGGGACTCTAGTTGGCCTCGGATACTGAAGTTTGACAGGAAGGCTGTTCTTCCATGTCTAGACCTCAGGGGCCAATCTGACGACATCTGACTTGGAAGACCCATCTCATTGCATGCTTTGTCCTCCAATTATTTTGTCAGGGCCAAGGACAATCGTTGCTAAAGCTATAGCAAATTTTTGACACCCTGTACTAGGACTCTGGGTGAGCCTGGGATGTCAAAGCATTGGTGAGAAGTTGGCCTTGGTAACTGATTTCTAGAACTGTGTAGATTATACCAAACCAAACGAAGCCCCAATCCATGACAGCATAGAAAGCACGCTAAAGCCCACCTTGTCTCGTATTCCCTTGAGGTGAGGTTTCTAACAACAGAAATGAACATTGTGGCTGTGGTCCCACGAGAAAGACATGCATGCTCTGTTTCAGGCCCTTCAAGGCGATAGCTGAGCATCGGTGACACCCTTTGTAGGCAGGGCTGTGAGTGGCTGCCTCTTTGAGTGAAAGTAGAGATGCCTTTGGGATAAAATGATCTCCCCCCAGACAGCCAGGACCAGCTAAGTTCCCATGGAATGTCAGCCATGTAAGTGTGATGGCTTCATCTCTAGACAGAACTCGTGCTAGGGAAAAATGAAAGGGTGCAGGGCCCCGGTGGGGGACGTGGTGATGGGGGGCAGCTGGAGAGACCATAACCATAACCCAGGGACAAGGACCCTAAATTCTGCCTCTTTGATGTTGAGTAAGCATCTTGTAGGGCAATTAAAAAAAAATCACCCCCCATTCTTCAGCCTCCTCTCTGGGTTTGTTACCGTGTGACCTGGAGACGTTCACACTTACTGCTACCAAAAGCCCTTCATGTTCTCAAGATACCCACAGAGCACCTGGGGCTGCCGCTTTCCAGCCTCCCCCGCCCGCGCCAGCCGAGTAATTTCTGTCTTTCTGCTGGGTGAAGAGGCCTAGGAAAGACAGGGGAGGGTGATTCCCTAGCTTAGAACCACGCCACGCACTTCGCTCTTTCACTTCCTGTCACCACCGTAGAAGTGCCAGGAATGTCCCCTTCCAAGAGTCAAAGGTGGAGGTCTTCATCCTGGGTCCCCTCCGTCCTCTCTACCACTGACGTCACCATTGCTTCTTCTGCCTGCCGGAAGGAAGCAGAGCCTGGGCTTGAGAGCTGAGCCCCGAGTCAAGGCCGAGAATCAGGGGGGAAGACAGGTCCTTCAGCGAGACTCACAGTCTTGAGAGCGCGCTGGTCATTTGCTACCCGGGTCAGAGAGGAGGAGGATATCTGTGTCTACAGAGACCTGGGCCCCCACCTGTTCGTCCCTGGTTCTCTGGCTGGCAGCGGTGGCTGGAGTGGAATCCAGGCTGGAGCAGCCCAAGCCTCCTGCATAAAGACGGGATCGCATGGGCCACTTCTGAAAAGACATAAACGGGAAGTTGTTAACACAGCTACTGCGACTCTGAGTAGCCCAGAACCATTACGATCTCAGGTCTGGCACCCCCCCCCCCCCCGTTTGGCATGTCCCTCGATTATCACCGTTTTAGACAGTCTCCCCACTCCCTGGCAGAGGCACAGGAGGAGCCCGCCCAGGGCAGTGGGGACCTCAAGAGGAGCCGGACTTGGTGGGGGAATAGGTAGGCAGGCGCTCTGCGCCAAGCGGTAGGAGAGGTAGCAGGGGGTGAGGACGGGGCTCTTCAGCTCACATCCTGTGAGGATTTCAAGGTCTCCCTTTAGGGAACAAGGGAGGTTTTAGAAAATGCAGGGATAGCTGGGCAGTGGTGGCGCACACCTTTAATCCCAGCACTCGGGAGGCAGAGGCAAGCGGATCTCTGTGAGTTTGACGCCAGCCCAGTCTACAGAGTGAGTTCCAGGATAGCCAGGGCTACACACAGAGAAACCTTGTCTTGAAAAATGAATGAGTGAATGAATGAATGAATGAATGAACAGGCAAGGATTACTCTGCTCAGTCTGTCTTCTCTATCAAATCCCTCTTGGGGGCTTGGTGCCCCTCCAGTAATCTGCAGAGTTCTAGACCTAGGCTCTCTTCTCTCCTTCTCCCCTTCCCTCGCCCTCCCTTCCCCTCCCCACCCGCTCCCCTCCCCCTCCTGTTTGCTCATCTACTACTCATAAGGGCTCTATATTCACCACCATTTTACACATAGGAACCTTGCTGTGTTACCCTATGGCCCTGTGCCCAGAGCTAACTTTAGCATTTTAGACTGACCCCATTTAATCTCAGAAGTTTGTATTTCAGCTATGTTCTCAAGAAACAAACACTTAAGTTTCAAGACACTTCAGGAGAAGAGTATGTATGAGGAAGAGACGATAAAAAGTGTCCATCATAACAAATAGAGTGGCCATGTGGCTTAGTTGGCAGAGTGCTTGGCCAGAATGCTCCAAGTCCTGGGTTCAGTCCCCTGCCTGTGTAAACCGAGTGTGGTTGCACAGGTCTGCAATCTGAGCCCTCAGGAAGGTGGAGGCAGGAGGAACAGAAGTTCAAGGCGATCACTGGCTACATACCAAGTTTGAGGCCAGCTTGGAATATATGACATCGTGTCTTTAAAAAAAAGTGATTTCTTTAGAGGACAAAGGCTGCCCTTATTCCTTTATGATACTGCAAGGTCTTTTTTAATTTTAATACAGTCTTGCTACATTGCCAGACTGGAACTTGCAATCCCTCTGCCTCAGTTTCCTGAGTACTGGGACTACGAGTGTGGCTCACCATACCTGCCTCACAGTACACACTCTACACGGGGCCCTTTGAAGCACCTTGGGGCCTTTCGTGGTGGCCGAGGAGAGGCCAGCGGTCAGATGCCCAGGTTCAAACTGACCCGGGCCCATTGCCCTCCCTCCCTTGGGTCTCCTGCCCTTGGGTCTCCTCGTCTGTAAACATTCCTTTGGTTCCTGCAGGGCCAAGAGATAGGAATGCTCTAAAGCTCTGTCTCAGCCTCCAGCTTATCTTTAGCATCCAGTCACAATGACTGTTACTGCCGGGTGGCCATTGCTAATTATCCTTTTCATTCATAATTATTATTAACAATACTTTTCATTCATTTTGTACTCCAGTAGAGATGGTCGGCTCCTTCCTTGCTTCCTGCAGTGCAGGAAAACTGGGTATGGGCTTGGTATGGTGCATACCGGAAGCCCTCCAATCTGGGAGCCTCAAGAGCACTGTGGTTTTAGGGTGTAGTTCTCCCAAACAGCAGATGTCTGCAGCAGCAGTACTCAGAGCAGAAAGGCAGGTGTCACTCGAGAGGATAAAGCTGCTCGGAGATAGAGGACTCTCCTGGGTTCTCCAGGAACCCGCTCCTCTCTTCCCCCGACACCAAGAATCTCAGAGTGTCCCCCTCCTCCTGAAGCAATCACACTCCCATGAGCCAGCCTCGGTCCTTCTCCTGAGAGAACAGGAAGAAAATGACCCCAACTCCCATTCCCCTCTGCGAGGTTCCCCACCAAGTCCCTAGGCCAGTGACCTACCTTGAGGGGATGTAAGTACCGGAGTCCACGCAGGAAGGGCGGCCAGGCAGGGCCGGGCAGCTCGTGGCCGAGGGTTTGGGTGAGGTGGGCTATGTAGCTCGTGGCCAGCACCAGCACGTCCAGCTTGGAAAGCTTGGTGTCAGGTGGCACGGCGGGCAAAGCAGCCTGCAGGGCCAAGAAGGCCTGGCGCAGCGTCCTCACCCGGCTCCGTTCCCGAGCTGCATTCTCAGGGCTGACTTCACTCTGCAGAAGGGGAGGCCCAGGGCTGGCTTCACTCACTCTGCAGAAGGGAGTCCCATCTAAGCCTGGCCTCGGCTTCACTCTGCACAAGGGGAGTCCCATCTAAGCCTGGCCTCGGCTTCACTCTGCACAAGGGGAGTCCCATCTAAGCCTGGTCTCTTGTTACTGTTGCTGTTGTTGGGACAGTCTCATGCAGCCCAGGCTGGGCTTGAACTCCCTGTGTAGCCCAGGATGACCTTGAATTTGGAATCCTCCTGCGTCTATTTCTCAAGAGCTGGGACGGTAGGGGTACACCACCATGCCTAGTTGGCCCTGACTTTTGGGGCCCATTAGTGCCATGTCATCTTCTGGAGCTAATGGGATTCCCTGGTTTTAAGCCATGCCCCATAATAGAAATGAAGGGAGCCTGGGTTGGGGTCAGATGACAGGAAGGTGGCAACACTGGGCTCAGACCCCCAAGAGTCCCAGCTACTATTCCATCAATATCTGTTCCACTGCCAAGTCTGGCTCCTGCTTATCAGGGTTCCCTGGGGGCCACAGGGAGCACAGAGCCCCATGCCTCCTGCTTAGCTGACTTGTGACCCAACTTTTGATCCTGAGGTGAAGAGGTTGCCATGGTAAAGAGAGAAGGACTCTGCACTAAGAGTCAAAACACACAGTCCTGGGCTGGGGATGTAGCTCAATTGGACTGTTTGTTTAGCATGCATGAGGCCCAGAGTTCAGTCTCTATCACGGTATAAACCAGGAGTGCTGACACACTAGGGGTGCTTGGCACTTGGAATGTGGAGGCAAAAGGTTAAGATGTCCAAATTCTAGGCTACAGAGGAAGTTTGAGGCCAGCCTAGGCTACATGAGACTGCCTCAAAAATAAATAAACAAACAAATAAGTAACAACAACAACAACAAAACTCAGTCTAGGTCCTCTGCCGATGGCGGCTGGCCAGGGATACTAGGCAATTCACATCCCTCTTCAGGGCCTGAGTTTCTCAGTAGAAATTACTTAGATCAACCCTCTGAGCTGTGCTCGATGGAGCTCTGACCTGTCCTGCTCACCTCAGCGTGGCACCATGGGTCTAAGGAGCCAGAACCCTGCTCTTGGGCGGAACCATCAAATACCAACCAGGCTTTTGCCCTCAGAGATGGCAGAGATGGTGTCTCACTGCCCTGCAAACCCTTCCTTCCCCAGCTCCCTCCTCTAGTCCATCGTGTCCTTACCCTGCCATGAGCTGTTCCCTTAGCTCTGGTCCCTCGAGGGGCAGCGGTGGCTCTGCTCGACCTGTGATCATTCCACCTGGTGTTGTCCCACAGCTCCTGCCTTGTCCTGCTGAGGCGGCTCCCCTTCCTGTCAGTGCCTAGAAGCAACCCTGCTTTGGCCTTAGTCTGGCCATGCCCCGCTCTTGGCATGGCTGGTACCCCTGTGGCCTCCTGTGACATGCCACTCTCTTGAGGTCTGGGGCTATAGCCCCTAGAGCAGTAATCCAGAGCCTGAGGGAGTCCTCGGGCTCAAGCTGGCCTGGACAGGCTGGCCATCCAGCCTGCAGGGTCTGAATCTGAAGAAGCCGGCGCCAACTCAATCCTTCACTCCTCTCTCTGGGAAAACTGCCCACCCGGCACAGCCCCCGCAAACAGCCTCTGCCTGCCTCCCATCCCAGCCGAGAGGTGGGGGTGAGGCATGCCGGGAGTGACTGAGCCCCAGGAAAAGACCCATGCCAAGAAGGCCGGACGAGGGGCAAGAGGAGAGTGCCCTTCCACGCCATGACTGACCCTAACACAGTACTGACCTACCGCTTCAGGTTTGGGGCTCTGGGTCTCCAGCCCCTGAGTCAGAAACGGTCAACATGTGTCTCATGTGTCTCGCAATGGGCTTTCTTCCTCCCACCAAAAACCTGTGACAAGGCGCTACTCCCCACCCCCCAAGCATGCTTCCCAATTCCAACTTGGTGCTTTGTTTTCAAGATTCCAGGAGAATGATGCCATCTTTAGGGCTCTATCCTGCCCCACCATCAACCTGCATCCCTGTTTGATTGGCAGGACCACAACCTGGCTAGTATCCTAGTAACACTTTGATGTTCCTAGCACACTGTGCATCTGCACTTTATATGAATATCTTATTTTTTCTCCAGAGCAACCATAAAGAAAAGAGATTGTGTGTGTGTGTGTGTGTGTGTGTGTGTGTGTGTGTACCTGTGCACAAGCATGTGGAGGCAAGAAGTCAACTTCAAGTGTTTTTCCTCAGGTGCTGTCTACCTCATTTAAACTTTTTTTTTTCTTTTGGTTTTCCGAGACAGAGTTTCTCTGTATTGTTTTGGAGGCTGTCCTGGAACTCACTCGGTAGACCAGGCTGGTCTCGAACTCACAGAGATCCGCCTGCCTCTGCCTCCCGAGTGCTGGGATTAAAGGCGTGCACCACCAACGCCCGACTTCATTTAAACATTTTTAATTAAAATATAATCACATCACTTCCCCACACACATTCTCAGACAGAGCCTCTCACTGGGACCTGGGCTTGCTGATTAGGCTGGGCCAGCTTGCCCGTGAAGTTTCAGAAAGCCTTCTGAAAACAATGCTTGCTTCTGATGGGGGAAACTGCAATGTGGGGGGACGAAATAACTTGACTGTCTTTGCTTTGCTTTGTTTGAGACAATGTTACGATGGCCAGAAACTTGTTACATAGCCCAGGCTGGCCTTGAACACACAGCTGTCCTGCCTCATCTCCCGCTTGCTGCTGGGATTACAGGACAATGCCAAATCTAGGAGGTAGTGAGGCTAGAGGTGCTCGTGGGTTGAAGGGAAAGTTCTTAGCTTTCAGTGCAAGCTTCTCTTTCCCAGAAGGGCCTTCTTCCAGAAGCATCCATGCAGAGCCCTTTAGAAGCTGGATCTGGCCAGAGCGGAGGCTAGATTTACAGAGATACCACAACAGCCCTGAGCACACAGGAGTCCTTTCTCTCCTTGGGAGCTCACTCATTAGGGAAGGAGAAAGGTCTCACCCTGACTTTGCCAATCCTGGTAGAATCCATAGACTTTAAGGACACAGTGTAGGAAGAAAACAGTACTAAAGCCACACGATAGCAGCATGGAGAGAGACTGTACCTAAGTATGTTGTTGGAGTCAGGTGACCTGAATACCTCCAAAAGGCTTCCATACTGTCAGTGCCAACCCCTTGGGAGGGCTACAAAGTCATAGTCATGCAACCTGCAGCCTCTCAGACTCCTACCTCAGAGACACACCCTCAGTGGAGGAGCTACCCAGTGACAAGCAGTGTCACAGGCTGAGGCTGAGGAGATGTGCAATGTGGCAGTGTTTGCTGAGAGTGCTTGAGGTCTTGAGTATGATTCCCAGCACACAGAGACACACACTCACACACACACTCACACACAGACAGACACAAACACAGAGACACACACTCGAGCACACACACACTCACATATGCACACACTCACACACAGACACACACGCATACAGACACACAGACACATGCACTCAGAGAGAGAGATCATACATGGTAAGAAATAGAACACACAACAGAGAAAGAGAGGAGAGCACACAGACACAGAGAGAACACATACACACAAAGACAAAGAGAGAACACAGAGAGAGAGGCCGATCGAGACACACAGGTGGGCAGAGCAGAGAGATAGAAAACAGAGACAGGAAGACACTTGGGAGGCTAAGACAGGATCACCTCAAGTTTGGGGCCAGCCTGGGCTATAGAGTGTGAGGCTCTGTTTAAAGAAGGGAAAGAAGGAAGACAGACAGAAAGAAAGAAAAGGGCAAGCAGAAGATTGCCTCAATTTGGGGGCAGCCTGAGCTATATAGTGTGTTTCAGGACAGCCTAAGAATCTTTTCCCCAAGCCGGGCATCGGTGGCGCACGCCTTTAATCCCAGCACTCGGGAGGCAGAGGCAGGTGGATCTCTGTGAGTTTGAAGCCAGCCTGGTCTACAGAGTGAGCTCCAGGACAGGCTCCAAAGCAATACAGAGAAAGCCTATTTTGAAAAACAAAACAAACAAACAAAAAAACAGTGAGTTGACTGTGCTCAGTAGTAAGGGGTGGAAAGTGACTGGGACTCCTCGAAGCTGTCCTCTGACCACACGTGCGCCTCACTCTCCCTCTCACACACATAAAAACAAGACATAAAAGGGAAGCAAGGGTGACAGGTCAAACTCTCTTGGCCAACTACAATTAGCTTATTCATCCATCCTCTCAATAACTCTCTGCAGGTTTCAGAGTAGAACGTTTAAAAGAAATAGAACATGATGTTCTCAAGCCTGGAGTTGGAGGAATTTGGGTGGGAAGAGTATGTGGCAGATAATATCTACAACAGGAAATGACCATCGAACCAAAACAACTGCATTACAACCTGGATGCCAAATGCTTAGGGAACTTCCTTTCACTTGCTCAGCAATTTTTTTTTCAAGACAGGGTTTCTCTATGAAGCCTTGGCTGTCCTGGAACTAGCTCTGTAGGCCAGGCTGGCCATGAACTCACAGAGATCCACCTGCCGCTGCCTCCTGAGTGCTGGGATTAAAGGCGTGCACCACTACTGCCCACCATACTCAATATTATTTTTTTTACAAGACAGGGTTTCTCTGTATTGTTTTGGAGGCTGTCGGTGCAGCCTGGCCTCGAACTCTTAGAGATCCGCCTGCCTCGGCCTCCCGAGTGCTGGGATTAACGGCGTGAGCCACCACCGCCCGGCCTCAATAATATTTTAATAACAGTAATTATAACACAAAATAAGAGAAGTGGGGTCACTGTGAATTCGAGGCAGTGTGAACTGAGTTTCCCTAGTCATTCTTCATTCTCCCAGTGAGAAGTTCTGTTTCTTCTGACGTTTCTGAAACCAAATGTGGGGTGTTTTCTGACACAGATTCTCCAATTCTCCAGACACCAACTGGGTGTCCAACAATTCAGGGAAATTCCAGGACCATGCACCCATAGATCAAAGGGACAGATCCCAAGGGATTGTCAGATTACAGCTTTGAGTCATGGGCAACCTGCACTTCTAAATAACCGCCTGTCAATCAGAAGTTCCCATGGCTTCCTCTGTCCATCTGACAGAGCATCTCACAGAACTCGGGCTTCCAGCTTCCTTAGAGTTTCTCTTTTGTCATAAAGTATAGAACCCAGGAACAGGCAAAGGGAAGAGAGGTGGAGGGCGAGGTAACAGGAGGGATGCCAAGCTTCCTTGCCCTCTCTGGCACACCATCCATCCATCCAGCACCTCCATGAGATCACCAACACAGAAGTTTTCATTGAACCCTATTGTTTAGGGTTTTTTATTTTAGTGAAGATTCCATCATACAGGCACAGTGATTACACTATTGGTCATTGGTGACTTAATTCAGAGTCGAGTTCCTCTCTCCTCCCTCAAGGTCAGTAAATAGGGCTGAAATTTGTGTCCTTCTAATCACCTGGTTTGATCTTCTGAATATAAGTTCCCATTGTTATGCTGACTCTGGGTCCCTGGTAGCATAAATTCATGACTGGGGTTCATTATGAATATTAAAAGAGAGCAAATATTATAAGAACAATCTTCAAATTATGGTCCTCATATCCCTAGAACATGAACACTTTCCAAAACATCTTAAATAGTGGAGTGACCAAATAGCCCAGTTTATCTGGTATTTTGTGGGTCTGTGTGCCGAAAGTCAAGTCTTAGTCCTGGTGGTGAGGCCTCAACCTCTATCTTCCTTCCTTCCTAAAACCGATATGGCTGTAGTTTTTAATAGCTTGCCATTTCTACTACATCCCCTTTGAAAACCACCCTTCACCCATTGTGTGTGTGTGTGTGTGTGTGTGTGTGTGTGTGTGTGTGCGTGCGCGTACAGGGGAGGAGTATGGAGGAGAGGCTACGTGTACCCTTGTGTGTGTGCAGAGCTCAGAGGTCAGTGTCCGGTGTGTCTATATATTGCAGTCCTCCTTATTTCTATTTATGGAGTTTCTTACTAAACCTGGAATTCACCATTTCAGCTAGGGTGGCTGGCCAACAAGCCTCCAGTATTCACCTGTCCCTGTCCCTGAGTGCTGGGGACTTAGAGATGTGAGCCTCCGTGTCCAGGTTTAATGTGGGATCCCAGTTCATGCTTGCACAAGCGTCCAGGTTTAATGTGGGATCCCAGTTCATGCTTGTATAAGCGTCCAGGTTTAATGTGGGATCCCAGTTCATGCTTGCACAAGCGTCCAGGTTTAATGTGGGATCCCAGTTCATGCTTGCACAAGCGTCCAGGTTTAATGTGGGATCCCAGCTCATGCTTGCACAAGCGTCCAGGTTTAATGTGGGATCCCAGTTCATGCTTGCACAAGCGTCCAGGTTTAATGTGGGATCCCAGCTCATGCTTGCACAAGCGTCCAGGTTTAATGTGGGATCCCAGTTCATGCTTGCACAAGCGTCCAGGTTTAATGTGGGATCCCAGCTCATGCTTGCACAAGCGTCCAGGTTTAATGTGGGATCCCAGTTCATGCTTGCACAAGTGTCCAGGTTTAATGTGGGATCCCAGTTCATGCTTGCACAGGCGTCCAGGTTTAATGTGGGATCCCAGCTCATGCTTGCACAAGCGTCCAGGTTTAATGTGGGATCCCAGTTCATGCTTGCACAGGCGTCCAGGTTTAATGTGGGATCCCAGCTCATGCTTGCACAAGCGTCCAGGTTTAATGTGGGATCCCAGTTCATGCTTGCACAGGCGTCCAGGTTTAATGTGGGATCCCAGTTCATGCTTGCACAAGCACTTTGCTATCTCGCCAGCTTCACCTTCCCCAGATTTACACAAGCCACGCCTCTTACTCACTCCTAATTTTATTATGGTGAATTATTTGGTGTGACAATGCTTCCGGGCACCAAAAAAAAAAAGAGAGAGAGACAATAAAAAAATACCCATTGGGGCCAGCAAGGCGGCTCAGCAGATAAAAGCATCTGTTAATTCCCAGGACCTACATGGTGGAAGGAGGGGACCAACTGTCCCCTGACTCCCACATGCGTGCTGTGTCATGTGAGTGCCCATGCACATACAATGAGTAAATGAACAAAAGCAAGGCTGGAGAGATGGAGCATTGGGGGCTCTTGCAGGGGACTGGAATTCAGTTCCCAGCACCTGTATCTCGCCACTCACTCCTGCTGTCCAGCTAAAACTCTAGCTCCAGGAGATCCAACACCCTCTTTAGGCTTTCAGGAGCACTTGAACACATACGACATACACTTACACAGACACAAACACATACATCTAAATAAACAACATCTTTAAAAACAGCTATTAAAACATACAGTAATATTCCAAGGACGACAGGGTATGGAACACAGCTACTTTCCTGGAAAGCGAGTCCCCTGGGGAGTGATCAGAGGAAGAGGCAGAGCTAGGTTTGTGGGTATACATCCAACAATTCTGTCTACCTGACAATTTTACCAAAACAGCCTTTGCACACACGGTCCCTGAGAGAAAGATCCAGAGCGTTGAGGGGGTGGGGTGGGGGGACAGAACCCATGATGTCATTATGACCTCTGTGACATAGGTTTTTGATGTTGGAGAGAGCTGCTTCCAGGGAAAGAGCCCCTCAGCTCCCACTGGGGGCGGCACTGCCGCCCCTTAGGCAAAGCCTCTATCTCTTGGAGCTCACTCTACTGCCGCTGCCACTGTGTCTGATAATCATCCCAGCCAAGGCCAGGCTGCGTGAGAGGGACACCAGTGTGAAGGGTGACAAGAGCTTAGGGGAAGCCAGTATGCCAGGAAATCAGGATGGCTACAAAATCTGTGTGTCAGGATAGAAAGGCAAAAGCCTGAGCCACACAAGTTCTCCGGTTGAAAACGGACGGAGCACACCTCTCAGACTGGAATTCTGGGTCAGGGTCTGTTGAGGAGGTCAGAGGCTGGAGGCAGAGGGGCCTGGTTGATAGACTGTCTTGTGACTCTGCTCTCTCTCCCAGGTCCCCTTTTTGATGACGTGTCTTGCGAAACAGCGGAAGGAATCCACATTGGTAAAACCCCACCTTGGCCCCTACGCCCTGAGCTGCCTCTTTTGACTCTGTCCTATTCAATACGCCCTGAGCTGCCTCTTTTGACTCTGTCCTATCCTATCCACTTCACTCTTTTGCCTACTCTAGAGCATCTTGCCAGGTTTTCTGACCTCAAAGGTGACAAACAGCTAGTGACTTTGTCATTTTGAGGCAGACTCATGCAACCCAGGCTGGCCTTGATCTCCTGTGTCCCTGCTGGGATACAGGGGTGTGCCAGCACGTCCCGTTTCTGTGCAGTTGGGGATCAACACCAGGACTCCATGCATGCTAGGCAAGCAGTCCTCCGAAGACCTCACATCCGGGGTCTCGATGAGCTCACACTGGAACAGAAAGCCCGAAACAGAGTTCAGAAGTGGACCGGTCATTCCAACACCTTGACCTCTGTCTTTTTCTCTGCAGGTCCTACAGCCTGTGTCTTCCTCCGGGTTCCACCCACATAGCTGCAGTCATCCCTCGGCTCCCAGGGACAGCTCTCATTCCCCGTTTCTGTACATCCCTAGCGAACGCCTAAGAACCGTGAAGAGACAAGATTAGATGGAAGCTCTGGACTGAGCACGCCAGAGTCAAGTAGAAGAGGCTTCGCGTCCCCTTGGCCTGCTGCTGACGCCTGTGGCAAAACCAGGCAGCAGCCAGGCCAGGGCAGGAGGAAGTCTTGATTACCAGCCGCAACTGGCCTCAGAGACTCCCCACGCTGACTTGTTAGGTTTCCAATCACTGGTCTTGTTGCCCCACCCACTTTTCCCCTGTATTCAAGGCAATGTTGCCTCAAAACAAGGACCAGGCGCTGCTACGGAACACAGTGCCGCCAGGGGGTCCCCCTCAGGTCCTCTCACAGTTTGTGAACGCCCCTCTATCCAACTTAGCATCTCTCTCTCCCCACCAGTCCCTCCCTGCCTCCCACCTTCCTTTGCCCTCTCCCACACAGGCCTGTTTCCCCTTCTCTCCTCTGCCACAGTCCCACTCTCCCGGGTCTCACTTCTTCTCTTCTGACTCCAATTCGGACTTTGTTCCTCTCCCATACTCTTCCTCTCTCCCAAGCTCCCCCACTTTTTTTAACCAAAACTACACTTGCCTTCCCTCTCCACACTCATCCTCTCCCCCGAACTACCAGCTGTGCCTCTCCCCTCCTCTTACCCACTCCTCCTCCTTTTCCCAGGCACAAAATTTCCCTTCTGGCTCTTGCCAGTCTCCTGCCCAGCTCCAGGACGTTAACAGCCCCACGATCCAGGAAGCTAATAGCTCCACGATCACTTCCCCCAGCCCCAGCTCACTGCCTCGAGGGATTCCCAGTAACAAACAAACATGGCAGTGGCCTCAGTCCACAAACACCAGGTCCCCTGGGGAGGCAGGGGGATGCGTGGCAAGCAAGGTGGACCCTGCAGAATTCAAGGACCCAGGGGCCCTCGCCCGAGCCCTAGTCGTCCATGTGGGGCATCGCAGAATTGCACGAGACCTGCAGTTGCTGTTTCTGCAGCGCCTGTGGCTAGGCCCCACCCACCAGGCCCCGGTGGTAGAGTACCCCGTCTGTCTAGTGTGCCTCCAGCCCCGCACCCCATCTTGCCCCATTCCCAAGTACAAGACAGGGCCAAGGCTGGTGGCTTTCCCTCAACTGCTAATGCCTTGTACCCAGGGCCAGGATTCGGGGCCTCTCCGCATAGGCATCGGCTTCGGCCTCCGCTTGCCTCGGGGACAGGCCAAGGCCTTGCATTTGCTGCCAGAAAAAAGGCAGCAGGAAGCAAGACCTCAGGGAGAGGTCCTCCGGAGTCAAACTCCAGCAACCCAGGCACCAGCAGCTCAAGTCACAGGGACGCTCTCCCAAGCCGGGAGCTTCAGGTCTGCAGGCCTCCAACCACCAAAACCCAACCAGTTTTCCATGCCTCCACCTCAGGCACCAAGACAGCCCACTGCCTCCCCAAAGCCCAGGCCTTCTCCTGCCCCAAAGATGTAGGTGTCTCCAGAATCTATTCTTCGAAAGTCGCCATCTTAATTCCAGAGCAGCGCAGACCTTCTGGAACACCCCCTCCAAACCCCACCCTCCCCATCAGGTCTTCTCAGACCTTGGGAAGCCACAGAAACACCTTGAAGGGCTGGCTGGCAGGAGGCCAGGTGTGCTCTCCAGCCCTGAACCCTGGGAACCCCTTGTGGAGTCTGCTCTCCCCTGGTTGAAGAGGACCAGAGGCACCCAGGGCCCCATTCAGCCTTCAGTGTATCCAATAAAGCCTAACCCTGAGAATTTTGGGTTTGTGTCCTGCGCCCACATCGTGGAATCGATGGCTCTGGGATAAGGCCGGTCCTGGACAAGGCTGCAGGGAAAGAAAGGTCAAAGACAACAAAGTGCCATCTACCCTGTAAGGCCCTCCTCAGGTTTAATTCAGGTCTGTTGACAGATAATTGGAATCAGAGATTAGGCTACTGGGCCCATTCCTCAGGGGACAGTCAGTTGACACACAGCAGACCATTTTCCTCTTAGGGAAAGACACTGCTAGCAAGTCATCCGCAGGCGAACTCTCACGCACAGACCAGAAGGCTCCCTCAGAAGGATGAAAAGTTTCTGCACCCTGATAAGCCTGTCCGCGGATGCAGCAATCCAAATCAGACCAAATAAACCGAATTAGCAAAAGCCCATGTTTAATGGATACAGCCCCCCCCCCACCTCCCCACGCCCTGTCCCAAGAGGAGACGGGAGAGAGACCCGGAAAATCACGGGTCTTTTTTCCTGGGGACAGTTTAAATACCCCGTGGGAGTGGTCTTGAACTTCTGGGGGGAGGGGGAGGTCATCATTTGGCGGGCTTTCTGAGATAAGGTTTGGAGAGAGATAGGGAAGGGGGCTGGGGTGGAACCTCCACCATAACAGCGGGCACGGGCGAGGAGCTGGAGAGAGGGCGGAAGCACTGGCTGCTCTTCCAACGGATTCGGGTTCAATTCTCAGCACCCACATGGCAGCTCACAACTGTTAACCCCAGTTCCAGTGGGCACCTGCAAGAAGCACGCACGCAGGAGAGGAGAGCGGGGGTGGGGGGTAGGAGGGAAGGGAATAATTTTTAAAAGGGATGGGGATGAGGTACCAGGCACAGAACAACACACAAGTCACCTGTCGGGGAGCAACTGCCACCCGACTTCTCTGTTCCAGAACTGGGTGTTAACTCGCGGAGGATACTGTCAAGTAGGGAGTGATTTCTTCATACTAGGAAGCGGTGAATCTGATTTGAAGCCAGCTTTGTTTTGGAGTCCCTGCCCTCGCTGTACCCTGGGAGAAATAAATCACTTCCTCTCTGGAGTAACACACGAAGGTGCTCGCTTCTACGAGTCCGTGCAACATCTCCGGAGGTGGGGACCGTCCCAACTGATCTTCGGTAATCTCTTCCAGCCCCACGCCCCACACAAAGATGGCAGGTCGGCCGTCATTCGGGGCTGAGACCCGGATCCGATGCCAGGGTTCCGTGGCAGCGCGTCCCGCTAGTGCTGACGCGGACCCGGCGTCCTGCGCTTGCGCGGAGAGAGCCGAGGAGCGCGGCGCGTGCGCACTGCGCGCCGGCGAGCGCCAGCCGGACGGTCGCGCGAACCTGCGGTGGTTTGAGGGGTGGCGAGCCCGCGGGGCTGAGAGGGGTCCTCAGGCTTCCCGGCGACGGCGGTATCAAGTTCGGCAGCGGTCGAAGGCAGGGCGCGGCATGTCGTGGGTTCCGCGGGGCTGGCAGTGAACGCGCGTGCGGGATGGGCCGGCGCCGGGGTGTGGAGCTGTACCGGGCCCCGTTCCCGTTGTACGCGCTCCGGGTGGACCCCAAGACCGGGCTGCTCATCGCTGCGGGCGGAGGAGGAGCCGCCAAGACTGGCATAAAGAATGGCGTGGTGAGAACGCAGGGCTACTGGGAATGTGCGGTGCCCGGGGGCGATTCCGGGGTGACCGGGCGCGGGCGGGGGTGATGCAGGGCTGAGTCGTACCCCTGCGTTAGGCCCTGCCTGTTTCTAGTGGGAAACCCTGGCGTAGACGCCTGGGTGCTGGTTTCACCTTAGAAGAGTGGTTGAAGCGTCCAGCAAACAGGCTGGAAGCTGTGCGGGACTGTGAAGGCTGGGCTGCTCACCCACGCAGGACCGCGGGAGCTGGCCCAGGGCTCCTTTTCTGCCCTTTTCCAGAAAGACACAATGTCTTATGTGCCTTCAAGCAGCTCGAGCCAGGATTCCTTGCTTTCTGTAAACCGGATTTAGAAATCTAAGCCCTACGTGCTGTACTAATTGGGGAGCTCCAATAAGAAAAAAAAAGCTCTAACAACAGCGACAAACCCCCTGAGATGGATGCGGGAAGCAAAGGGATACAGCTAAGACAGGACTTAAACGTCTAAGAGTAGGGCTTGATGTGACTTCCGGGCTCACCTGAACTTTGACCACCTTGGTTCCCTCCCAGCACTTTCTGCAGCTAGAGCAAATCAATGGCTGCCTGAGCGCCTCCTTGCTGCACTCTCATGACACAGAGACTCGGGCCACTATGAACTTGGCCCTGGCTGGTGACATCCTTGCTGCAGGACAGGATGCCCGATGTCAGCTTCTACGATTTCAGGTCCACCAACAGAAGAGCAGTAAAGCAGAGAGGGCAGGTGAGGAGCTTTGGAAAAGTCACTCTAATCGTGGTCTCTAAAGAGGAGAGATTAGGTGTGGGGTCTCGGTATCGCCAAAATGCTCTCTGTACCGTCAGTACAGAAGGGCTAGTAGCAGTTAAGCCTGGGTTCTGCTTGGTTGTGGTGGTGCAATCTCCGTTCTTAGGAGTGGAGGCAAGAGGAGCTAGCCTGGGGTACATAGTAAGTCCCTGTCTTTAAGAAACAACAACCACGATGATAACAAACAAAACAAAACAAAAAACAAAAACAAAGAAGTCAGCACCTGGGAGGCAGAGGCAGGCAGTTCTCTGTGAATTTGAGGTCAGCCTGGTCTACAAAGCAAGTTCCAGGATAGCCAGGGTTGTTACAAAGAGAGACCCTGGGTTGAAAAACAAAACAAGTCTGGACCCTGGAAAATTGTTTGTGTTGCAGGTTCTAAGGAACAGGGACCTCGACAACGGAAGGGGGCAGCTCCATCGGAGAAGAAATCTGGAGCGGAAGTTCACCCTGAAGGGGTTGAACTCAAAGTAAAGAATTTGGAGGCAGTGCAGACAGACTTTAGCACTGAGCCACTGCAGAAAGTTGTGTGCTTCAACCATGATAATACCCTGCTTGCCACTGGAGGGGCTGATGGCCATGTTCGTGTCTGGAAGGTATGCTTTTCCGGGGCCAAGGGCGAGGGATGTCAGTTGCAATAGCACCAAAACTATGAGACTCTGAATATGCATTCTGGAAACTTGTGAGTGGCCATTAGAGTAAGAGGGATGGGGTTGGTAGTTTTCTTGCTGTGTCTGGTCTGAATCGTGATACTGGCTTGCCTGTAGGTACCTAGTCTGGAGAAAGTTCTGGATTTCAAAGCACATGAAGGGGAGATTGGAGATTTGGCTTTGGGTCCCGATGGAAAGGTGAGGAGGTGGGGGTGTGGGATACCGGTGCAGAAAAGGGGGGCTCTGGTGCTGCTTGCCTAGTAAGTAAGTGTCCTAACTGTCCATCTTTGGAATTTTTATCCCCGCCCAGTTGGTTACTGTAGGCTGGGACTTGAAGGCCTCTGTGTGGCAGAAGGACCAACTAGTGACGCAGCTCCAGTGGCAGGAGGATGGGTCCACCCCTTGTAGCACACCATACCGCTACCAGTCCTGCAGGTGTGAGGGTCACAGAGGGCGGCTGCAGTGGGCAAGGGGAAGAGACTGTCGCCGTGCTGGGGGTGTGACCAGGGCACAGGAAGGCACAAACCTTTCGCCTGCTTTCCAGGTTTGGGAAGGTTCCAGATCAGCCTGGAGGGCTGCGACTCTTCACAGTGCAGATCCCCCACAAGCGCCTGCGTCAGCCCCCACCCTGCTACCTCACAGCCTGGGACAGTTCCACCTTCTTGCCGCTTCGGACCAGGCCCTGTGGCCATGAAGTCATCTCCTGCCTCAGCGTCAGGTGTGAGAAGTTGCTGCTTAGCTGGAAAGGAGGGCACTTGAGGGAGCTCGGGAGTGCGTCCTGACGCAGCCTCTTGGGGGCCACTGTGGGGTGAGAGGGCTTCTGCACCAGCTCCCAGAACAACGAACGCTCTGTTGTACGTTGCAGCGAATCGGGTACCTTCCTAGGCCTAGGCACGGTCACTGGCTCTGTCGCCATCTACATCGCCTTCTCTCTCCAGGTAACGGGTCGAGGTTGGCACGAACCGTACGGGAGGGCTGCAGGCTTACTCTTCCCTGAGTGCAGGGAGGAGGCTGGCCCAGTCCTCGGGGAGGCCTGCCCGGGGCTGTGGAGCACGCTTTCCAACGAGGCTTCTTCCCGTTTTCTGCTTCTCCAGCGCCTCTACTATGTGAAGGAGGCCCATGGCATTGTGGTGACGGATGTAGCCTTTCTACCTGAGAAGGGCTGTGGCCCCGAGCTCCTTGGGCCCCATGAAACTGCCCTTTTCTCTGTGGCTGTGGATAGCCGTTGTCAGTTGCACCTGCTGCCCTCCCGGCGTGAGTCACTGTTGCATTGTGTGTTGGGTACCACTTCATCCTTAGCCAGAGTGAAAAGTGACCCCTGGGAAGTGGACTGTTTGCATCCGCTCGCCCGCCCCTCCTTGAGTGAAGGGGGTTGGTTAAGGGTTCTGGTCTTGAAGCTCTGAGCCTCCTTGGCTCACTCCCGTCTTCCCTTGTCACACCCTCAGGGAGTGTTCCAGTATGGCTACTGCTGCTGCTGTGTGTCGGCCTTATTATTGTGACCATCCTGCTGCTCCAGAGTGCCTTTCCAGGGTTTCTTTAGCCTCCCTGACCAATGGGAATCCGGCTTGGACACTGCCACCTCCCAGAGCAGAATCATTGAGGTCCACAGCTGAGGCTGCCCACAACGAGACTGATGGGTACTGCGTGTCCCTCAGCCAAAGCTTGCCTGTGGCCCCACATCACTGTGGATCTTGGGGGCCCTACATTCATCACCTGTGGATCCATTTAGGACAGTGTAGTCTGAAGCCCAGGCACACTACCTGCCTCGTTCCCTCTGCCTCCCAGGGCTCCAGAGTTGAGCTCTTCCTTCTCTAGAAATATGTGAAGATGCCCAAGAGCCTGGAGGCATTGCCATCCTTCTTACAGAAACTGTGTCCCCTCCTCCCCTTATGGCTATTATCGAGGTCCTTGACTTTTGTTGAGACAAAGTCTGGACTGGCACTTGCTGTTAGGGCAGGAAGAGGTAAAGGAAGACTCAGGTAGCAGTGGTCTGTGGGCTTAGTGGGTAGCACCAAGCCTAAGGCCACATGTACGTAAGCTCCTGGATGGTCTGCTCGGGCCTGAGGAAGGGGAAAGTGACCCTTGGCTCGTTAGGTGGGAAGAGAAGATATTTAATAAACAAAGAAAGATTGAACCGAGACCCCCAACAGCTCTCTTGTCAGCTCTTTCCATCTTCAGAAGCGAGTGCCCCAAGGGCAGGCAACTCCGTGGAGTGCTGGAAGATGGCTTGGGCATACTGATGGAGGACACGGTTCATGTAGCAGTGCTGCTGGGGCAGTAGTCCTTCCAGGAAGCCAATGTGGCCCCCCCGAGCTGTGATGAGCAGTGCGACATAGGGAGACTTCTGAGCGGCCTGCAGAGGCAAGGCTGGGAGGGAGTCAGGAGGAGGTCAGGAAGCTGCCCGGCAATGAGAACCCTGGCTTACACCTCAGGCACACCCCACATCTGTGGCTCACTGGCCTGGGGGTCAAGGCTCCATTGTTGAAGCCACTCACCATGGACTGGGGAGAAGGGATCGTCTGCTGCATTGAGGCAAAGGACGGGGGTATGGATGGCATCTACCTTGGTTCTTGGGCTTGAGGCCTGGTAGTAGGCCGCACAGTCTTTATACCCAAAAGCCACAGATGTGTAGCGCTCATCCAGCTGGCGGATTGTGCGGGCCTGTGTGGTGGAGGTACTGCAGCTGTGATGTCATAAAATAGGAGACAACAGGAGACCAGCACTGGTTGAGGGCATAGTTGAGAAATACCTTTATCGCGAAGTCGACATCCAACACCTTTTCAATCGTCTTTCTGTTTCTGGAAGAGAACATATCAGGGTTTGTCTGGACTCCTTCCTGCTTCTAACTCAGAGTTCACAGCTTCTGTTTTCTTACTTCATCAAGAAAGCCCCATGTGGGCCTGAGCCTTCAAGCACTAGCAGAGCTTGGTGTGCACTCTGTCCTACCTGGCCACGAGCCGGCAGAGTCCAGCAGTGAGGGGCTGATTGAAGAGCAGTGAGTTGAGTGGGGTCTCCAAAGAGTCAACGGTCTCAAAGGAATCCCAGCATGCAGACATTGTCAGGCCTGCTACCAGTCCTCCAGCCTTCCCTGTCCGTGCCAGGTAGTTGAGCACCAGTATCCTGTAAGATTGGATGAAAAGG